CCAAATCCACCCACAGCCTTCTGGGAGCTTCCGGTCAGTGTTCCTGTAAAGAGCCCATGCAGTTGCAGTTTCTATTCTCTCATTGCAATCCCACCTTGCTCCCGACTCAACAGCCTGAGGAAAGACTTGGGTGGCCCTGGGCGGGTGGCTCTGTTGGTTGGAGAGTCATCCCGTGCACCAAAAGGTTGCGGTTGGTTTCCCTGTCAGGGCACATTCCATGGTTGCAGGTTCAATCCCCAGTTGGGGTGCATACAGAAGGCAATCAATTGATGTTTCTCTTGAAAATCAATGAACATATCCTTGGATGAGGATGAAAGAAAAAAGACTGGCTGCACAGAGAGCAAGAGAGGGACCACACAGTGATATTCGGTCAAGAGCACAGGAAGTACTGGCTAAAGGAAAAGAGAGGGTCCCATTCCTCCCCAGCCAGGAACACCGTTGGAGCCCTTGTTAGAAAGTGCACATGTTTTCATGTTTCCTGAGGGAAGCATCACTGGGGCCAGAGTTCTGTGTTACCAAGAGGAAGACACCACTGCTCAGGCTCCTGAATTCCTCCCCTCTACAGTGAAGGTGTCCAGGCCCAGCCTCCTGCCCCCTCAGCCGTTCCAGAGTACAGTGCACCCAGCAGACCTTGGGGAGACACCAGAGTTGGTAGAAGTGTTTGAAAAAAGAAACCCAATAATAATTTGAAGGCAAAACTAGGAGACCTTTTCTCTACAGAGCTGTGCAAATGGAGACCACTCAATGTTGCCAACTGGTTTGCAGGGCATTTTTCAAAAGGACTCTACCTCATAACTTTAATCTGCATACAATGAGTTAGGGCCTAAAACAGCACTTTTCAAACTGTCACAATCCATGAGTGGGATGTGAAAGCACATGGATTCGCCTGATAAATTTTAATGAAACAATAAAATCACACAGTGTAAAATAGGAAATATTAGAATACACTGTTGGTAATAAGAATAGGCATCGTTTTATTAAACTAGTTTCCATTTTATACACACCTCTGTCTCACTATCTAAATCTATTTGGTTCCTAAGCAGTAACACATATAGCAAGGGATCCTACATGATTGTGCTTCAGTTGGGTGCCATATAAATGTATTTCTTTTCATTGTGGATCAGGTTGTGGTAGAGGTAGGAACTGAAAGTCACTAGCCTAAAGAAACTATAGCTGTAACCGGTTTGGCTCAGTGGATAGAGCGTCGGCCTGCAGACTGAAAGGTCCCAGGTTCGATTCTGGTCAAGGGCATGTACCTTGGTTGTGGGCACATCTCCAGTAGGGGGTGTGCAGAAGGCAGCTGATCGATGTTTCTCTCTCATTGATGTTTCTAACTCTCTATCCCTCTCCCTTCCTCTCGGTAAAATATCAATAAAATATATTTTTTTTAAAAAAGAAACTATAGGTAAGTGGAATGAAAAGTTTTTAAAAATATTGATTCCAAAATAATTTAACTCTCTTTTTGTCCTAATTATTTTTTTATTTGGTTTCCCTGAATTTGTGTGTGTGTGTGTGTGTACACATCTAGTTTTGTTATAAACATTTTTTTCAATTTCATACAACAGACAGGAACAAAAGGTGTGAAGTAACAGAAAACAAGACGGGTTTAGTGCACAGGGCGAAATCCTCACCACAGAGCAGGGCAGGCCAAATCCTACCGTCCTGGTGCCAAACCACTAGACAGAGCCTGGACCAGACACAGGCTCCATTCTCTCTTGGCAAAGCCATTAAAACACCAATTTCTCAAATGACTGGGCAAAGGACCAACCTCTCTCTAAGATATTTTTAAGTAGAACTGAATTTGTTGGTGTATCATGATTTTTGTAAACTTTATGACAAGCTATACATGAAGCAGTATTTTCTTTTGTGTGTGTGTGTGTGTGTGTGTGTGTGTGTCGAGGGCTGACTTTCAATAGATCGCAGCGAGGGAGCTGCTCTGCTACGTACGAAACCCCGATGTGAAGCAGTATTTTCAAATGTGAGTTTTGAAAATATTAATCAGTTGCCCTGTTACTCTTTTTTAAAAACAGTTGACACTTTATGTATTTTTAAATATATTTTTATTGATTTTAGAGAGAGGAAGGGAGGAGAGAGAGAGAGAGAGAGAGAGAGAGGGAGAGAGAGGGAGAAAGAGAGAGAAAAGTAAGAGAGAAACACCAATGTGAGAAACATTAATCTTTACCTCATATCCCCGAGTGAGGATCAAACCCGCAACCTGGGCATATGCCCCAACCAAGAATCAAACCAGAGACCCTTTGGTGGATGGAACTATGCTCAACCAACTGAGCCATACTGGCCAGGGCCTTGATACTCTAAAATAATCCTCCTTATCCCTACCCCTACTTCTCACCTTCATCCTGAAATAAATAAATAAATAAATAAATAAATAAATAAATAAATAAATAAATAAATAAATAAATGCTATCACATTTGCTCTGGTCTAAATGGCTACATGTAGATCGTTGTCTCACCATCCAGGGGCTAGAAGTGGTTATAGCCTTGGGAATTTAGCTGCCTGGAATTTCCAAACACATCCTCAGGGTGTGTTCCCCTCCTAAGGTTACATGTCCAATCCTCTTTAATTCAGGAGCCCCTGACCTACAACAGATAAGTATAATACAAGAAGGACTACTCACAAATTCACTTATCTAGTGGGGATTGTCTGTACCCTGGAACCAACCACACTGGCAACCACATATCTGGAGCATAGTTCTCTTAGCATCTTAATGATGACTGTGCTACTAATGAACTAAATGTTTTGGCCTTAGAGTCAGGCAGCTTTGGCCCAAGAGAGAGTCAAGAGGGCAAAGACTTGAAACCAGTTGTTTCAACTTCATCACTAAGGCAGGAAGGAAGAGGACTTCTGTGACGCAGTCAGTATCTACTATTATAATTGTGTTGCAATTCCTGGCGTTATAGATTCTTAGTAATTATACCTGTAACACAAGTTGCTTTATGTTTTAGGACTTTTTAAAAAATAACTTTGATTGTGAAGTGATAATATTTCTCAAAATCTCAACCAATTGGAGTAAAGCAGGCACCGCACCAATTCTGGCATTGACAGAACTGACCTAATACACGTGACGGCTGAAAACAGCAAAAGTAAAAAATTTTCGTTTTCTCAAAATATTGTAATCCTGTGATTGTCCAAGTACTGAAACAACTAGGGAGCAGACTGAGAGTCCTAGCAATATAGAACTGATTTAATCTGTCCTCCAAAATGTATTGCAAAATACAAGCTTACACAATAACTTTAAATTCCCTAGGTTTTCCCTGTGAAATCTACCATCCCATATATGTGCACAACTTGCAGTTTATTTTCTTTCTAAACCATTTTCCCATTCCTCAAATTAAGTAAAATTTTAGTTTCCTGGTGGTGAAGCTTATTGATAAAGATTAACATGTGCTGATGATACACTGTTGCCAGTTAGAGGCATCTGGGGTAGAGGTTACTCAGAAAGCAATTAGATTTGGTGGTGGGACAGTCCCTGCAGCACCATCAGGCACTTCCTCTACTGGTGGCAGTTTCTAAAACACCAAGTAAACAATTTTAAGATGATCTCTTTCATCGGAAGTTTTACACTGCTCCCCTGCAGCTCATCATACAATTATAGGTTTGGAGCCTAGGAAGGAGACATTTCATTTTCAACTTACTAGTGAATGCATGCAACAGCAGGTCTTCAGATGAACACTGAAAAACGTGGTCAAATCAGGATGTTAATGTAGACATTACTCAATGCTCAGATATTTGGAACATTTTTAAATAGTGACAAACTCCTAAATTTTCATTCAGTTCTGCCTTTCTTACACACCTTCTGTACTCCATGAGTCCTTAACAGTAGTGACAAATTGGAGGAGGGGGTGACCCTTACACCTTCCCACTAAGTACCAACATCCAGAATCCTGCACTGTGGTCTCTGATGGCATCAAAAGAAAGAGGCTGTTAGCTAAACTCGTTACAGCAAAAAGACAATGAAAATGAAATTGCAAAGAAGCACTAAGCGCAGAAGCTTCAACTTGTCAACAGTTGAAACTACGTCTTCAGATTCCCTATCACAAAGGGCCTGGATCTAAAATGTGGTGAAAACAGCTCTCCTTCGCTGTGGATAACAGACAGGGAAGAAGGGAAAAGAAAGGAAGGGAAAAATAATATTCAAAGGATAAAAGTATGAGAACATGTGGCATCATTCGGGTGGCAGAACTCCCACCTGTTCAGATCTTCACAGGAGGGAGGAGGGGCAATTCTGCAACCCCGGAGGGGGGGGGGGTTATCTCATCATTTAAATAAATCACTCCAGTACACGAAACTAGGAAGTGCAGCAGAACTCTCCTAATCTCCACTGCCTGGACCCCAGGTGCTGCTTTTTTCTTGAAAGCCAAGCTAGTTCATTATGCTCCCATCCACTCTTTTGAATGATTCATTCCCCTCTTCACTCGGAACAGACTTTGCAGGGAAGCTAGTATTTGAGTTTCATTTCCAGAGTCACTTGCTTTGGAAATCTTGCTGAGGTGAAGGGGGAAGGATCCAATTTAATAATCCCGTTGTGATTTGCAGGGTTACCCTCCGCCACCGCCCCCGAAGTAACTAGACAAACAGGACCCTCTGGTAAGCGATCATCCTGAGCAAAGACACCATTTGGGAAAGCGGGGCCCACGTGCGATGGGAGCTGTCACCCAAGGGAAGTGGCAGCCGGCGAGGAGGAAGGAGGGTGGAAGAGAGTCGGGCTGCCGCTCGCAGCTGCACCGGCCTGAGCGCTCGGGGAAGACCTGGCTCCCACTTGAACGGCGCTTCGCTCTCTCCTAGACGCTCGGCGGGAAGAAATCGGAGGGCAGGGAGGCCGCCTCCCACATCCGAGGCAGCTGCAGCTGCGAAAGGGACAACCCCAGCGCGCGCCGCGGGCTTCCCCAGAAGCCTGAGCCGGCACACAGGGCGCCGGGCTCCCCCAGGTCCAGGGCGCCCCCGCCCCCCCCAGCGCCCCAGCCCGCCCCCCCAGTCTTACCGTCCCAGCTCCGACTCCACCTCGAAGAAATCGCTCAGAGCATCCCTTTTGGAGCCGTCGATCCAGTAATCCGGGACGAGGTTCTCGGCCGCCCGGTCCACACTGGCGGTCGAGCCGGAGCACGAGGGCACCGTGACTTTCAGCATCTTCGCGGCGGGACTCCGGAAGCCGCCGCCGCCGCCGCCGCCGCTGCCGGAGCCAACAGCCCCGCCGCTCCCGCCGGCGCCTGCGAACGCGGAGCGAGAGGCGGCGTCCTTCACCCGCACGCACACGCCCACCGCCGCCTCCCACGGCGGCTCGCCGCTCCGCTGCGGCTCCGGTTCCGCACGCTCCGGAGGGAGGGCGGGTGGGCGGACGGAGAAGGGGCCGAGGAGCGGGGAGAAGGGTGCGGGGGCAGAGCCCGAGTGGCCGCCAGGCCAGCGGAGAGAGGAGAGGCGGGTGCGCGGTGCAGGAGAGAGGCTCCCTCCCCCTTCGCTCCTTTCCGTCCCACTTCCCCTCCGCCCTCCGCCCTCCGCCCAGCCTTTCCAGCGCCCCCCCCCCCCGCCCCCCTTTCCCTTCTCCCTCTCCCGCAGTGCTCGCGGCGGTGCTGGCTAGGGCCGCTCCGAATGCAGGAACTCGGGGAAGCACAAGGACCAGAGCATCATCATCCTGCGGGCGCAGGAGCCTGGGAGGACCGCGCGCAGTGGGACGCTGGCTCCGGGAGTGGCGGGCGGCCGGCGCGCTCTAGGAGCACGTGGATCCGGGGGGCCCCGCAGGGTGGGGGGAAAGGGACCTGGCTGTGGGAGCAACTCCTCCCTCCTGGAGCGCATCTTGGCGGCCAGCCCGTCCACCTACCCCTAGCTAACCAGCCATCCCTGGCGTGTACCTCTATCAAAGCCTGTGTTGGTGGTCTGTGTCCACGCCGACCGGCTCGCCTCTGAGCGAAGTCTTCTGTTGGAACAGATTCCGTGGTGCTGCTGCTGGCGCTGCCTCCTTGGGCACTGCTGAAGCTCTTGAAGAGGCGGGTACTGGCTGTGTCGCCTTCACTCCCAGGCTCTGAGGGCTAGCAGCAGAAGTGACCCAGAGAATTACAGACCTGGAAGGGCCCTGTGGAAGCCAACCGGTCCCGCCCTCTGCCCTCAGGCAAGAGCTGTCATCATTCGTGTCAGAGAAGATTGCTCCATTTTAAAGCTCTGTCCCCTTCCCAAGAGATATGTCCCATCACAAACATTCTGTCCGTCAACCTTCAGGATATTGTTTAAATATTGGTTAAATATATATCCTGCATATTTCTATCCCTGAACAGTTTCTTTTTAGATTTCAGCAGGGATGAACTGCAAACTGATTATATTTTGCAGTAAATCTTTATATATGAAAACAATTATTACATCCCATCTCATTTCTGGCTAATATACTCCAAGCTCTTTATTTAATGTTACTTCACAGGTGTTAGTGTTAGTCTTTTTTTTTTTTCCTGACTTTCCTCCAATATGCATTAAACTCTTCCCAGTATGACCCCGTTCCCAGTAATACCAGTAAACAAGGTCCCATATTTTTCTCTCAGTTGTTGACTTATTGCTTACACTTAGAACTTTTCTGCTATGTTGGTGAATTACCAGCAAAAAAAAAAAAAGTTAACCAACTAGTGGTAGAAATGTAATCCTTAGTTGATTGGAAATGAAAATCTGTTCCACACACGCAGTTTAGTGATGATGACCACGTGCTCAATTTACAAATAGCCTAACAAACAGCAAGTCCACCTCAACTGAAAATGCTCAGGACTTTTTACTCTTCGGAGAAGGAATTCACTCATCTCCATGTTACAAGATCAAGTTCATAAACAAAGCAAGCTAATAAAACACTCTAAAGTGAATTCCAGTTCTCGGCAGGTAAGTTTCCCTTCACTTGTGCTGAACAGTGGAGGGATGGGCATGAAGTGTGGCCAGGCCATTTTATTCACACATCTTTGAGGCTGGTCCTGAAGTGGCAGTACTGCGTGTAGATACTTGTCTGTCGTGAGCAATTCCTTTACAATGTAAGTCCAAAGCAAGCATATCACATTGAAAGATATGATAAGCCTTTTTTTCTCCTGGCATTTTAAGGAACAATGGCTAGAGAAACACCATTTCATGGTCCAAGGGTGACTGTAGAGTTGCTATTTACTTTCAACATTAGTCATTTGACACCTTTGCTTTATAAAAAGTACTATTAACTTAAGGTTAAAAGAGGGTATTTGGCTTAATGAATGCAGTTTTTCAATTTAAAAATATAAGATGAGGGGACCCTTTCCCCTCCCCACGTGGGAGTCTGTACTTGTTCTTCAGTAAATCTCCACCTCTTCTATACCACCTTCTGCCCCTGGATTCATTCTTCGACTCTGGTGGACAAAGAATCCGGGTTCCAGTCCAAAAATTCCGTATCACTAGGATTAAAACATAGGAAAACAGTGTCCAAAGTTTCCGGCCTGCAGTCCCAATGGCCATTGGCAAAGGCTTCTATTTCTGAAAGGAAGGGGGCGACTCCTTCATCTCTGGTTATGGTTGGAATGAGGTCCGTGTGGTCATCCACACACTTGGTCACACAAATCTCCAGCTGCCTCCCTTGCGCTCTACTCCCGGCATCTATTGAACCCTTGGCTTTGTCGATGCTGCGCAGTGCACCATGCACCAGGCCGGGAGGTCCTGCAACTTCTCCAGCTCGCCAGTCACCAGGGCCTGGGCTTGAGCTAGAAGCGCGCCAGGCAGCGCTCAGTGCACTCACTGGTCTGTCCTCACAACAGCCGCTGCACCGGAACACGGGCCCTGGGCCCTGCTGATGTCCTCTCCCTCCAGACTCTTCACAAGTCCGCCCACCGCCTCCTGCACAGAAGCTGCTGCAGGTGTGCCACGGGGGCTCCAGGCTGTACCGCCTGGCGCTAGGGGCCACCTGTGGGAGGTTTTTGATTACTGCTTTGATTTCATTAGTTGTAATTGGTCTGTTCAGACTTTCTGTTTCTTCTTGATTCAGTTTTGGAAGATTGTGTGTTTTTAGGAATATATCCATTACTTCCAGATTGGCCAATTTGTTGGCATATCAATGTCCATCATATTTTCTTGTAATTCCTTGTATTTCTGTGGTGTTAAGTGTTACTTTTCCTCTTTCGTTTCTGATTTTATTTGTTTTTGGTTTTTTTGATGTGTCTAATTAAAGGTTTGTCAATCTTGCTTATCTTTATTAAGAACCAGCTCCTGGTTTCATTGATCTTTTGTATTTTTTTTTTAATATATTTTATTGATTTTTTACAGAGAGGAAGGGAGAGAGATAGAGAGTTAGAAACATCGATGAGAGAGAAACATCGATCAGCTGCCTCCTGCACATCTCCCACTGGGGATGTGCCCGCAACCCAGATACATGCCCCTGACCGGAATCGAACCCGGGACCCCCCAGTCCGCAGGCCGACGCTCCATCCACTGAGCCAAACCGGCTTCGGCTGATCTTTTGTATTTTTTAAGACTGTATTTTGTTTATTGTTGCTTTGATCTTTGATCTTTATTATTTCCTTCCTCCTACTCACTTTGGGCTTTGTATGTTGTCCTTTCTCTAGTTTCTTTAGGTGTAAGTTTAGATTGTTTGAGATTTTTCTTGTTTCTTGAGGTAGGCCTGTGCTACTCTAACCATGGCCCATAGATTTTGTGTTTATTTTTATTTAACTCAAGGTAGCTTTTGATTTCTTCCTTGATCTCATTGTTAACCCATTTTTTTTGTTTAGTAACAAGTTATTTTCCTTCATGTGTTTGTGTTTTCTTCAGGGTTTTTTTTTTTTTTTTAATTCATTTCTAGTGTCATACCATTGTGGTCAGAGAAGATGCTTGATATGATTTCAATATTTTATAATTTATTGACACTAATGTTTTGTGTCCTACCATGTGCACTTAAAAAGAATGCATATTCTGCTGCTTTGGGGGTAAAATGCTCTAAAAATATCAATAAAATCCATCTTCTCTACTGTGTCATTTAAGGCAAAAAATAAATAAAAATATAAGATGAAGGTAAGCATTATTTTAAAACAGGTGGAACAGGAATTAAGTCCATGCAATTTATCTTCACTCCTTACAAAATATCATCTAAACTGACCAGAAAAGGAAAAAAGCAGAAAGGAAGAATTCTTAGAATCTAGGAACAGATGAACTACTGACTTAGAAAACTGGGTAGACCTGAAACTCAGATTTGCACTGAGAGGAGACAATAAGAAATCTAATTCTTACCACAGAATTCCAGAATGCTTGGGAATTAGAGTCCAGCTCCTTCTATCATGGAGCAGAGAGTAAGACATTGGTTGAACGTTTTTATAAGGAGCTCTTAGACCCCTACATTTCTTCTTTTACTATTCATAGCAACAAACAAAAACACTTTCTAAACTCTTGGAAAAGGGGGTATACTTAATCTTTGAAAATGTTGAACAAAAGTGATGTCTTAGATCACAAGGTACAGGTGAGATCATGTTGGAAATAGAGGGATTCATGAAACTCTAACAAACAATGAGACTTCCAGGTGCATTAGGTTCCTAGAATGCTGAAAAGTATGCTTATACCTATCACATGCCTAACCATACAGGGAACTGCAGGGTCAATCCTGAGAAAACCAAACCACCCCAAAGGAGGAGGACCTGTGGATACTGTTAGAATAACCCCCAACAAAACATTCTAATTTTTGCCAACACGTGAAAGTGAAGCCCATCACTGAACAGGCTCAGGGACTCAGTGTCTACTGAGCTATTTTGTGTCTCACTCAAACATGAATGGACAAGCAAAGAAGAGATATCTGATTAAATATGGACATTGATGGAAAGTTATACAGTTAATATACATTAAAATGTAGGATAAAAATGATAAGAATAGGAAGTGTTTATAGCTTTCAAACAACAAGGTGGGGAGGGAAAAAGGACAAAGAAGGTTTAGTAGACAGAATGCAGAGGGATAAAAAAGAAACACAGCAGCATTATAAATATTTGAAATGGTAGTAGAGCAGATGCTGTGATGCACTGTCAAGGATGTCTCACTCGGGGTTGGCCCCCTTCCTGAGAGAAGTTTGCATCCAATTACTCATCCCAGACTCCTTGACTCTGACGGTCCAGCCCATCTCCAGAGCTCTCTGTGGAACTGGCTGAGACCTCTGGGACAAATGTACCACCGTTCAACCTCTCCTTCTGCCCAATCCTTCCTTTACTCCCTGTTGCTCCTGATTGTTCCCCAGTAAACTTTGTGCATGCATATGTCTGTCCTCTCTAGCTCAATAAATGTTTCTAAGGGGACCTAACTTCAGATAGTTGGTGCCAA